AAAACCGAAGCACCCCCAAGCCCGCCAAAGAAAGGGTCCCTCTGTATCCACGATGCTTGGCAAACAAAAAAAAAGCCACAAAGACTGCTTTGCTGATTTTTGATTGGTTGTTGGCGACTACAATTGAGGCAGATTGGCCGGGAGAGGCTGACTTGGACTTTATCGGCATATGAAAAAAATCAAAAGAAAAGACTCAAAAAAAAAGAAGAAAAAAAAGAGGCTGTTGTGCAACAATATGACATCTGACCTGTTTGTGCTCAGGTCAACTTGTCATTCTGTTCGTCACAATCTTCATGGTCGCTGTTCATGGTCCAACAAGAGTCGGGGAATTACTAATCAAGGACTGACTGACTGACTTGACTGACCGACTGACCGACTAGCGAGGAAGCTGCGAGGCTCATACAACCAACCTACATGCCACACCTTTCGGAACGAAGCTGCCAATTTCCCCTTCTTCTTTCTTCCCCTCTTTTTTTCAAACGTAGACTATGAAAATGCACATTGTCTCAACCAGACGGGAATAAGCGCTAGACCTGAATCGTCGCCATCCGAGTACAAGCACGCCTTATTATTTCGTACGGCCGTGTTTCTCCTTGTCCGTGAGGCTGAACGCCGTCGCCGCCGCCCACACCGAGACATCATCGTCTTGCCGTTGGCTGGATCTTCAATTGCCGGCATTAGCAGTGGGGAAGAAAAAGCTGACGACGTTTTTCACAGCAGCATGCAGCCCTGCGCCAGGGCTGCAAAGGAAAAAAAAAAGAACAACCTGGGCTGATAATGTTGCTGCAGGATTCACAAGTTGCGAGCTGACACAAAAGCACAGGAGCTGGCCAACAATATACATTTCGAACGATAAAAGGTCGTTTTAAACGAATATACATTGCAAGCCAACAGTCTTTCCAACAGACTTGCAGGATCTCGGTTCGCCAAGTTAACGGATAGAGTCAGTCAGCGTGGGCCTGCGGCTCAAACACCAGCCACGCTGACGGGGGAGGGGGGGTGCACCCGTTGATTCGAGATGCAGAGAGTTGGCCCTTGTCTGGCATGCAGTTCAAATACAACGGTTTGATTCACGACTGCGCCGAGGCTGGGCTGCCGCGCAGCATCTGGCAAACAAGGCAGCCAGCCACAAGGAGTGGCTGCATGTCCCTAGGTACAGATCAGATGCAGCAAGGGAGCCTGGAGACAGGCAAACGGCACCCCGACGCTCTCGGAAAAAGAAGAGCCAAGCAATCAGGGATTCTTGTAAGAAGTGCACAGCCATGCATACAAAACCCAATCATCACTTCTTCAGCGCCTCTCCCTTGCCTCCAAGACACGCAGTAAAGCCACCCTCCCTCCACCTTTCAACGGATTAGTCTGGCGCACAACGTCCCGTATCACCTGTTTAGATGCCCCCATCATCGCATCCTGCACGTAACAGGGCAGCCTGTTCGTCGCCAAACCCCGGCCGTCGGTACCCGCGCGCAGCTATCGTCGAGGCCAAACAAACATGCTGCCTGCCGAGCGCCCCTTCTCCCCTTCTTCTTTCCGGAGGCAAACTCATTTTGTCGAGAGAGCGCCATCTCCATCCTCGCGCAGCGCAACCCGCTGGGGGAGATGGGGGACCGCAAAGGCCCTCGGCCGCCGACATGGGCCCGGCGCGGCCATGAGCACCGCCCAGCCCCAGCACGCCCACTCCGAACCGCGTTGCACGCTTGGTGCAACTTTGTCTCGATAGGCCCGCCGGCGGGATGAACAGGTCAAACCGGCTCCCCATGCAGTATAGGTGGATGGCAGCGCGCCCCTCCTTCGTCTCATACCACGATACGCTCGCCTTAGCAGTCAAGCCGTTTGCGCGTACCTACAGCTAATGTTGCAGCGGCGGATCACTCATTAATGCTCACGCCTGATTCCGCTTATACAGGGGTTTCGGTGCGCCGACTTTCTCCGGGAGCGCTGCCGGCCTATTGGTGGCTTTTCGGCCCGGCGCAGCGCGGACCAGTGTACAGATACCGTGCCGAAGGTAGGGGCAGCAGCCTGTCCGCGTCGTTGTCGTAGTCGTCGCCATCGTGGCCCTCGTCTGTTGCCTTTGCGCAGTTCTGCGATGCGACTTCCTGCCTGCCAGCCCTCCCGAGCTCAAAATCGTTCCACCATTGCGCTCAAGCACCGGCCCTCGGGACGACCGATGTGCGACCGTTACTGTCAATTTCTGAGACCACAATGACGCTGCGGAATATGGCTGTCAAAGGAACAATTGTGGCTTGCCGTGATGCGGGTGAGCATCGTTGAGCTATGTAAGCTCCCCTACACAATTTGTGCGAGACGAAAGGGGCATCTGCCGTTACTTTTGGGCAAACGAACGGGCCTTTTTTGCTATTGGATGGTGCCCATGCAAAGGGTTTTCTTGGCTCTCGGTCCAGCCGCTCTCAGACGCAAAGGACAAAGATGTAAGAAAAAAGTATCAAGATCAAAAATGAAAATGGAATGGATCTGCTGTGCCAAGGGAAGCTGAAGGACTGCATGGCTCCTGAAGGAGCTCGGTGACAGGTCATTGGCGTCGTTGTCAGGCATCGTCAGCGCACAAAATTATTCCAAAAGAGAGTGATCAACAAAGACAAGTTTTGTGGACAAGCAACACACCACAGAGATAACCACGAAAGACAAAATCTCGTAGAGAAGAATTCACACCACATAAATGACCACGAAAGGAAAATCACGTAGAAAAGAAATGACACCACAGAGTGATTTCAGCACAGGTACTCACTCTGTAGACAAACATGGCTCATATCTGCTGCGCATTCCTACCCGCGTATTCATACCTGTGTTTCAAGTCTACGTACTCTGACCTGCGCAACCATACCTGCGTAAACATACCTGTGTAACCATATCTGCATAACCTGTCTGCGTACTCATTAGGTACTGCGTGACCATTCTTGTGTAACCATGCTCAAGGTACGCGTCCATGCAGTCAGTGCAGTCAGTGCAGCACCCTCTGCCTACTTCTGCTTGCCTACCTGCCTGCCTGCCTACTCTGTAATTCCAGCCTGCTCAGCCCATCATGACAGGCTGCAGTCGCTTCGGCTCAGGCGAAATGCCGATCCATGCAGCGCATCCATCCGGCTCGTTACCATCTAGGGTAACTAGACGCAGCGCCTGCATATGGCTGGCCCAAAACATGTTTGTGTTTTCACGTCAGCTCCCCCTTTCCTTTCTCGAAACGAAAAAGGACTGCAAGTAAAGTCGAAAAAAGCTAATTTACTCTGCCCGTGGTCGAAAAAAAAAAACAAAAGTGCCCGAGAAAAAAAAAGGGAGAGGAAGAGAGGGGGGGGGAGGGGGCACAAGGAAAGTACAAAAGCAACAAAGTCATGTGGTAGAAAATGATTTCGGTGCGTGTGTTATCGTCCATGTACAAGGAAATTGCTTAATAGAGACATTATAGTAGTCAAAATTAAATGTCACAAACCCATATCACTAACAACTGTCCAAAGAAGCAGAGAGAGGCAGAGAGACGGAGAGAAACCAGACACAACATGGAGTCGATGCACAAGACCACCACATTACTTTGTACCAACGTGGCCAGTACTTTACTGCCTTGGGCATGGTGTCAACGGGAATTGCCGCCCGTCTGCTAAAGATTGTCAATCCAATCAGCAAACGTCTGTCACGCCTCCTTTACGAATTAGGCAGTTTTTCGGGTAGTCAGTCACACCAAGAAAATGCATATGATGTAATTACCCAAGACTATCAAGTCTAAAAGAAAAGAAAAAACGCTATGGATGGGAGGGCAAAAAAAAAAAAAACACTGCAACATCATATTTTTTTCGTATACATTGTTGTTGCTTTTCCGTTACTCGCAAGCACTTATTAGGCCTGCAGATGCCACTTACTGGCCGAGAGTCCTGTGCTACCTCTTTCTCTTCAAAATTTTTGTCAACTTGCAATTTTCCAATCATAGAGCTTCGTGTATTGTACTCCAGGGTAAATGATTGGCCGCGTGATGGCTCTCTTGTCGTGTTCAGGTGTACCCGGGCACCCCCTTCTGCTCCTCTACCGCAAGTCTCAGACTGTACTCCAAAGTCTTGTACAATTCTTGGCTGGCCTGGGTAGTTTTTCTAGCGTGTGTGTTCTGCCGTGTCGCTGGTTTGCGTATGTGACGCTTGATGAGACAGCGAGACGGTCAAATACCAACGAGCTGGAGCCCGTTTCATTGAGCTAGCACATAAGCAAAAGAATGCCGTCTCCGCTCGGCTGCCTGATGGCGCCGCCAGGTGTGCCATCAGCATTGCTGGCTTGAGTCGCAGAGTAGCCCTTTACTGTTGCCTTGTTCTCGAGAAACGAATGCAGCGCTTGTAATACGGAGCGGGTCCCTGGAATGAATGTGGCCTCTGTTTCAAATCACATTCCTGTTGTGGCATGCGTCACTTGACAGGTTGACCAGTGAACAAAGGGAAATATCTCTTCAGTTCAGTGTCGAGTCGTACCATGCTAATCGGCTTGACCATGTAGTCGTCAGCACCGACAGCACTCGCCGCTTCTCGGTCCGATTGACTGTCCTGGCCCGTAACCATAAAGACAACACTAGCGGCCCAGAAATTCTTCTTCTCCAATGCGCGAATCTGCTGCGTCGCTTCGAGGCCATCGCAGACTGGCATCTGCAGGTCCATGAGGACCAGCTCAATACCCGCGCCGCCGCCCGCAGCAGATGACGCTTGGTGCTTTGAAAAGACCTCGACTGCCTGCGTGCCATTTGCAGCGCTGAGAAATGGCAGCCCTCGCTTCTTGCAGTACATTTGCAAGATGCGCAGGTTGACTAGGTTGTCATCCACCACAAGCACCATGGGCGTAGCGGATTTGGTCGGCAAAGACATGGGCAAGCCGACCAAGGCCCCGTCGCCGGACTCGTGCACAGGCGAAGAGTAAGAGTTTGAGCTCGACTTGTCGCCAAACTCGGCAACCCCACTCGATTCTTCGTTTAGAGGTTGAGGTGAGCAGGCATCCATAGAGTTGTAGCCTTCGTCGGTATTTGTAGACGAACGAGATCGATCGAAATATGCTTGCTCTTTACCACTTGACAAGTCATGCAATACTGCGGCCATTTCATCAGCCTCCCGAAGAACACTGTAGAGCTTCGACGTGGAGAATGGTGCGCTTGCATATAACACTCTGGGCAACATATCAAGAGACTCGGTATCGACTGACTTTGGCACCAGACAGACGGCGATCTGGTCTGGGAGCATCGATGCAGTCTTGATTTGAAGTTGCTCTGGGTCACGACTGTGCTCAAATATCCCCAAACAGCCCCCCGTGGGCTCGTCCGAACGGGTGAAGCCGTTGTGCGTTAAGAAATGGGCAAAGTTTGAGGACAGGCGGTGGGAGGACAAGTCCGTCTCGAAATGATAATATTTCGGGAGCAAATTCTGGAATGATGGCGTTGCTGTGAGCGGCAATTTGATCGAGTCCGTTTGAACCATGTCGTCGAAAGTGGCGCGAAAATGCGAACCAAGGTTGACCTGTGACGAGACGAGCTCGACTGAGCCATGAAGCAGCGCTGCGAACTTTGTTGAGATGGTCAAGCCTAGACCAGAGCCTGTCGAATGCTCATTGACCTTTTCATAGAGCTGGAAGATGCGTTCCTGGTCATGTGGAAGAATGCCACAGCCTGTATCTTCCACGTCAACCATGAATGTTTCTGTGCCTGGTCTCATGGAGAATCTGACAGCAACAATGCCTTTGGGTGTATTTTGAATAGCATTGTGGACAAGGGGCCAAAGACTATCTCGCAAAAGGTTCATATCCGTCCGGAGCTTTGCGCCGCTTGGCATCTCGCAGTGGCAAAATACTGAAGCAGTCAACCCCGATTGGCTGAGCGATGCTTCCGACACCTGCTTCAAGAGTTCCTCCTCCAAGTCACCAACATCATAGGTGGCGTATCTCCGCTCGGCGTGGGCAATGTCGGCCCACCTGTTCAAGGTGATCATGCTGTTGACGGTCGACATTAGTTCTCGACCTGCGCCAGAGATAGTATCAAGATACAACGACGTCTTTGCTGCAATCTCAGGTGATCTCGCGACGCCCGCGACGCCCGCCGACACTGCTTTGGGTGAGGAGGCCTCAGACAAGGAAAGTGCCTTTAAATCCTCAGCCAAAAGCTCGGCAGCCCCGAGGATTCCGTGGAGTGGAGTTCGAAGCTGATGAGACATGCCTCGAAGAAACTTTTCTTTGGCCTTTATCGCTTCTGTCAAGAGGCGTTTTTGCCATATCTGGGTTATCAGACTTGCACAAGTTTGTATAAACCAAGCATCAACGTCATCGAATATCCGTCGAAAGTCTTTGGTCCCAACAACTAGCAACGAATGACCAAGTTGGCTGTCGCACCGCGAAGACAAGAGACGCACTATTCTGTCTGTCGGGGTTGCATTATGATTTGATGTCGCGATAAAGTCGTCAATGTAGGCAGTGTCCTCCCATAGACCATTCTTGAGACCTGGCGGCAGAATGGTTTCTGGCGCGTTGACGTCGCAGCGATCGGCGTCTGATGGCTGTATGCGGATTACCTCGCTCGGGTAGGCAAGTCGGAGAATATTCAACACGGACTCATGAGGTTCTCTGTCGTCATGGCTAGTCCCAACGCTGTCAATGAGTTCGGCCAGTCGACGGCGCTCTCGTTGTCGCCGCGCTCGCGTGCACTGGACAATGTCGGATACTACCCAATCTGCAAGCCGAGTAAGGGTCTGCTGCTGCTGCTGAGACAGAGGCGGTTGACTTGTCGCCGAAGCGACGCAAATTGTGCCTAGTCCGATGCATTCGCCGGATTCGTGTTGCATCCGAAGAGGAACGCCAGCATACGCTCTCAACCCGCCTTGCTCGACGTACGGACAGTCTTGAAATCTCCAATCCTCCTGGAGATTTGGAATGAGAAAAACACTCTGCAAGTACAACATTAGCTGATGCGAATTAGATACTGGACGACGAAATACATACGCCAGGCGGCTGTGTGACCGTGTGCGCACAGATTGTTTCCCCGCGGGGTAGAATGCCAAGCTTGAGCCCGACCGTTGCTAAGCGAATGTAGACGTTGACATCGAGCAACCCAATCACGGCAAACTCCCATCCCGATGATTCTTGGGCAAGGCATGCCTTTTCCTGCAGGCCTGCAAGAAACTCGGGTTCGCTCTCGAGATCGCGCCCATAGTACCAGAGCATGGATAACCTGAGTCGCTCATTCTTGGCCAAATGAGCTCGTAAATACCGGCAACTGAGCGCAACCGTTTCTTTCGGTATCGATGAAGGCGCATAAGGAGCTAACTTTGGCGGATAGCGACGAGACTCCAGCTCCGGAGCCCATGGCTCAGCTGGCCTTCCGAGATTGTCGGCATCATACACAGGTCCGACGGTGGTGGGCCGAACGGGGGGGCTTTGGGCGTCTGGCGATGACGTTAGAAGACCAGCGTCTGCCTTGGGAAAGAAGTGCATTCGAGCACAGCTGTACTGAAGATGCGAACCGCTCTATGTGACCGAGTGGCAGAGAAAGGCACAATATTTTTGAACACGAAGGCGAACTGTGCATCAGGAAAAAATAGTGATGATGATGAAGAAAACGGTTGCGGGGCGGCCGAGTGTCATCCCAATGAAAAAGCTCCGGCCCCCATTCGATATTTCAATTCCAGGCTTGCCATTTGGAGTTAGCTCACCAGTAACCATCGAGATCGTGGAATCATCACCTGACCAGAAATTTTGCTCCGACTTATCAATCGTTTTATTATTCAAGGACATGTGCCAGAAACTGTTGCAGGATGCAATTACAACTTTGTTGCTTGGCGTAACGCGAGGTGGCAGTAATGCCACAATTGGTTCAACCTGCAGCATCTTTCTGTGACGCGTGACCAGCATGAGCAGCCTTGAGCAAAAAAAAAGATCTCAGTCGAACCGGCCATTTCGGACAACTGCAAAACAATGGCGTGGGCCTAGATCTAGCAGAATCAAGAAAATACAGTCATCAGGGTGATGGAAGGTTGCATTGACGTTGGAGCTTCTCGATGTGATTTCAGATGCGTCTTTGCCGGCATGTTTCGGCTTCAATATATGTACAGACATAAGTGCATGCATGGTACATACGGCCACAGGCAGTAGAAAATATCGCGTCCCGTCTGCTCCGCGGAAATCAAGCTACTGACCGGCAGATTAGTAGTTGGGTCGGTGACGACCAGCGAACACCGGCTGCTGTATGTTTTTTTTTCTTTTCCATCCTATTTTATTTCTTTCCTTTTTAAATCGCGGTTATTTAGGACCTAGAAAATATAGTCGTTGATCCTATAAGTAGTGTGTGCCTCCGTTTTTCAAGGTATAATAACTAGGTAAGTAATAGTAAGTAACTTAATAATAATGGAGACTTATATTAGGATAGTTAAGATAAGTGATTTAGTCTATCTAAACGATCTTTATATAAAGAGGAAGTATTCAAGTTCCTAGTTACGAGATCCTCCTTATAATATCGTCTGTGATATTAGCTATGACGCTGATTGAGTAGGTAACCGCTGAGTATAGATATCGCGACTGGGCCCGCGATCGCGATCGGTATTAGTCCTGTACTCTTGAATGGTTCCATTTCTCCGCAAACGTCCTGGAAACGCAAACTCCTCTTTATCGTATTTTTAAAGATCGGCCGAGATTTGATCACATTCTGGCCTACTAACGTGAAAACCCACGCCTTCAAGTTCACAATAGTTGCACGGTGTGCAACCGATAATAAGCGAACTGCAAAAGGCGGCCATCTCTGGTGAGATGGGTTGTTTCTCGAATATAGTAGCGACCGCAGTTTTTGCTGCAGTATCTGACCCAGACATTGTCTAGTATATAGAGCCTGGAAAGCTACTTCATTAATGTCTCGAGTTATATTACTTGATTTTCTTGGTTCGTGAATTCCGGTGCGTGGGGCAGTATAAGTGGCGATGTTATAACAAAGCACATATAGGGTATTATTACCGTAGGGTAGTACCAGGAGTGGAATATACTGTTTGCGTCTTACTGGCTGATCCTATGCTACTTTTCGCAGCTCGTACTATGCGCTACTTTCTTTGGCACTCGCGACACTCGCGACACCTCAAGGTAGTGGTGGTGTTGTTGATTTATTCTACGCTAGGTAATATCCTATCAGAGGCAAGAAGGCGCCCGGCAAAAAGAACAGAGCAGGAAACGTTCGAGTCAGACTCCTTAACCACTCGGACACTCCGCCTGTACGACGGAGACAGGACTTGAACCTGCGCGGCCTAAACCATCTGATGTCAAGTATCCCTAACCACTGGGGCACTCTGCCTTGCTAAATTCGGTGTTAGACACCAATATAACAAGATCATTCACGCTATCATCAGAGTTCCATCTATTTTCTATAGGGTATTAAGTCACTTATTTGCTCGAACAGAATTTAAATAAAGAAACTAGCGGATTACCAATGCAAGCTCTATTTCTAGCTGGACTTGACACAATATGCGAGCGGTAAAGATCGTCCGGCGATTGTTGAAATGCGAAAACATTAAAATAGACGTGATTTGTAGAAAGATTTCAAGAGGCAAAGTGGTTTTCTATATTTGGCCGTGGCGAAACACCGCAAAGGTTGGCCCTCTTGCAAGCGTTTATATACTCGATGCCTGTTGCCTCATTAGGCAAGTACTAGTCCATGAATCTCTTCATTTTAACTGATAGATCTAACGGTACTTGCGAGAAAACGCTGTGAACTCAGGAAGAATCATTAGCGAGTGCACTAGAGGACTGTTGTTGGTGCCATACATCTTTCACCATCTCCATCTAGCGAAAACAGGAACTGAGGCACCGTTGTTATCGCCCGGTCCTAGCTTTCTATCGTCAAATTCTAGCATTGTGTCGCTATCACAGACGAAGCATTAAGATATCCCAACGCCCTTGATATAACGACGCTTCCCAACGTGCTCAACCTCCAGCTGCTGCAAAACGGGAAGCATGCGCGATGGAGGGCTCTCTTGGCGACGTGTGCATGTGAGTGCAAGCGGCGGTGTCTCGGTTCACCTGACTCACTCTGATAGCAAACCTTGTTTTGGGCAGCTTTTGACGCATTTAGGAGAAATCGGGGACTTTATCAATATATTGTGGCGTCAATCAACTACCACTAGCATTCTGGCAGAGTTCTGCGCATCTCTTCCGTGACGCAGCGCCGTGCAGTGAGTTGGATGGTTTATTTGGTTGACGAGCCGTAAGAATCATGGCCAGCGACTGATTGTCCGCGTATCCCTCGACGTAGATGAGTGGCCTGAAGCCACATTTTGCAATGACAATCATGGCAATAGAATGAGAATAGGTCTAGAAGTAGGTGGGAGTGAAAATTGTGAGAAATTAAATAGGATAGAAGACCGCAAGTAGATCTTGGGCGTAATGTAGATGCGTCTTTCTCTTATCCGGAAGTAATGACATGGGATATAGCTTCGACTGACCACTTTCTCTGTACATTTGACATGAAATTCTTGGCTGAATAGTCAGGCGCCCGTTGGAGCTTTACAACTTGCCTTTAGAGCGCATCTATGCAGTATCGCCATTGCAATCAAGAGCATCGACTTTGTATTGTTGCACAGGGGGCATTTTCCTCTCTTTCTTGATTCATCCAAAGTAGACAGGTGCGGAGTGGGCTGAATGAGGCTGAAATTCCAGAGCAAATGCAGCTGGGCTGCTCTTCTTGATATCAGCCTGAGTCCGGAAATTGACCGTCATATGATGCGGCTCGGTATACCGGAACCTGACCTATCCGGATGTGGCTTTTTTTTCGGCCCTTTCGCTTCGTTTTGGTTTGGATCGTGATAGTAACAAAAGAACGAGGTCGAGAGCACAGAAAGTGGTCCAAAAACAACTTGGCCACTGCGGACGGACCCTTTGCGCGAAAAAAATAAAAAAAAAGCAAGACCTGCGTTCTGGGATAAAGGAGCAATGTGTTTGGCCGCATCAGGACAAGGTCGTGACTATTTGGGCGCTATCAGCTGTCACGATGGTGCGATGGCGTTTGGATGTGAAATGCGGAGCGTGGCGGGCCGACATTTGTTTTTGACTTTGCTAGTGTTGTACCCTGGAGCGGAGGCGCCCGCAATGTTGTCAGCTGTTTTCTGTAATAACTAGTTGTTTTCTGTAGTGCTAGAGGGGCAAAAAAAAAAATTGCAATCGATGGATTGCATTGGTCAAAAGTACGAGACGAGAGTCGGACAGGCTCCGGGTCGAGTCCGGTCCTTGGCGGACGGATGTTGCGAGATCTAGGATCTAGACAAGGAAGCTGTTCACAGTGGCAATGCGAACCATGAAATCGTCACCGGTGATTTAATTCAGCTATAATAATTTTGCCCTACTTTTTATGGAATTTGCAATGCGTCTGGCCATATTTATCACACAACTATTGTTTGCTCCGGACAGGATTGACTGGGGAGTATCTGGGGACTCGGCGGAGTCATCGGTCGTACCACGGAAGCTGAAAAAGCCGAGCAACGAATTATCTTTGTCAGTCACTCTCGACCCTGATCGACCGGAAAATACGGCTCCACAAGAAACAAAATCTTGCGGAGCTTAGTTGGGTTCGGGTTAAAGTTTGGAGTCGCATGGTTCTAGCGTGCTGGTTTCGCGTGTTGTCGATACTAAAAACTACTAGCCTACGGTAGTTAGTAGATAGACTAGTGTCCTTGTTCCTGCATATCACAAGGCAAGCCCCGTCAGGTCGGCATAAACGGCATGCCCGGCCGATGATGACAAGCAATGCCGACGATGACATGCCAGGGCGACGATGACATGCAATGCCAACAACGGACATGCAATGCCAACAATGACATGCAAGTAGGGCGAAAGAATGGGGTATGAGTGGGATCAAGGATGAATGAATGATGAACGCATTTGGCACTTGGCTATAACTATCCCAATGAAAAATCCTTTCCTCCAGGCATCCCATCAACTAGCTTGCTCGGTTAGTCAAGGACGAACTGGCTCCAATTTTTCTCCAGCTTATTCAGAACGTGCCGGCCCCGAGTACTAGTTACGTTGACCGAGGTATTCTTGGTGGTCGAGGCTCATTAGCTGAGGCTCCTCTTCTCACAGCTAACTAGCTGCCAACACTATTAATACCACTGGCTTGCGGGCCGGGGCAGCCCCCGTAGCCGGATATGGGAGTGACAGCGACGAGGAATTTTTTACCCACTGAGAATCGTGCAGTGGCTTGCTTGCGAGGCTTTTTATAGTGCTCCTAGCACCAACTTCATCTATACCTATAGGCACTAGCGTAGCCTCTACCTTAGCTTTTTGACTGGCTCACCGTTCTCACCGCGCAATCACTTCCATTTACAGCCAAGCTCGCCCGAGACAATATAAGCCACAAAAAACAACGACACCGAAACAAAGTTTGAACCAAGACTATACAGGACAAAGGAAAAAAAAAACGTGGCACTGAAAAATAAAATTAAGTAATTAAGCTAACAAGAAAAAGAAAAAATCTAAACACAAGAAGAAAGAGGTATTACAAGGAGAAGAATAGAGTGGCGACGGTCAGCGCCAGTGGCACGCAGTAGAGGCTTGTTGTTTGATGGCGTGCTGCGCTGCCAGTGACGACGGGGACGCCGCCCGAACCAGTGACGGTAGGGACGCCACTGCCCGAGCCAGAACCAGAGGCAGACGGAGAATATCCTCCAGATCCTGAGCCTGACAACGAGCCAGAGCCGTTGCCAGAGCCGTTGCCAGAGCCGTTGCCAGAGCCGTTGCCAGAGCCGTTGCCGGAACCACTGCCTGACCCAGAACCATTGCTTGAGCCGTCTCCAGAACCAGTTCCAGAGCCATTGCCTGAGCCAGAGCCAGAGCCAGAACCCGTTCCAGAACCATTGTCCGAGCCAGTTCCAGAACCTGAGCCTGTGCCATTACCCGAGCCATCACCAGAGCCGTCTCCAGAACCGTTTCCAGAGCCACTGCCAGAGCCAGAGCCGTCGCCAGAGCCGTTTCCAGAGCCGTTTCCAGAGCCACTGCCAGAACCGTTTCCAGAGCTAGAACC